TTAAGTAAAGGCAGTTCTCAGACATCATAAATGAACTTCATTGACATTTTAAAAGAGACCGCTGATCACTGATTACAATCAGTCGAACGAATGGTAACCCTAAACCAGTTGACATTCGATGGTTGATTTTCCGTAATTTTCAAGTTTCCAATAGTCAGTAAGTAGCCTTGATCCTATATGAGATTGAATTGAAGACTTCTTATTCTTATGCTAACAAAACTTAACCTTCTTATGAACTTCGACGGATCATGTTTCCAATGTTTCTGCAGCTTACATTGATCACTGATGAAAACTATTCCTTGAAAAAAGTCAATTACCCAAAATTTACATATAGATGAAAATCAGTTTTAATGAATTTCGATTCTTTGAAAGTCTACAAATATATTAAATAAGTATTCTGATCAGCTTGTACAACTTAAGGGCAGATACAGTTTCAGAGTGAATTGAGTAGATCACTCCTATACAACAACTTGCATTGGGAGTATGATTAACCAGGTGTATCTCCCCATATGAAAACATTGGTTTACAAAAGGTGGAATGAAAGTGGTGTGGAAGGATTGCATCCCAATGCACCCACCTACTAAACACAAAGCTTCTAATGTCATACACTGTATGCCAAAAATAATACCACATTCAGTCAACTTACCAATGTCTGGTCAACATAACTAGTTGAGACACTTGCAATTCGCTTAATCAAATTTGAAGTGTTGATTTAGAAAGAACATGTGTAAATGAGATTCCTCGGTTGACCTACAGTAAACCTATGACCCCTTCGTATCTTCATCGTTCGGTTTACTGTCACCTTCGTCATCTGTACACATGTCATCGTATTACAGTCGAATGTAGAAAAGGGGGAGTGGATTTGAGCCTAGTGGTTAAATCTCACTGTATTTTGAAAATGTAACTGCCTCTGACTTCGCTTTATTTTATGCTGTTCAGCTGGATTGATAGTTGTGGAACGTGATGAGAAATTATCGGAACGAATACTCCTCCTTCAGATTGTTGCTTTTTATTAATTTTGTCTGAATCTTCAAAATTTATATATATATATATATATATATATATATATATATATATATATATGCAGGCAATCAGTTCGTCTTATAGCCTCAAATCTGTGAAGATGTGGTCTTTTCAAGTTGATATTCATCAAGGACTGACATCAATTGGAGAGCCAATAAACACCTAGGAACACGTGGTAGCTATTTCGTCTTAGTGTAGGACTTCTCAGAAGTCCATACTCATGACCCCGCTAAGGATTGAGATTTGAAAGTCATGTGCTTGGTCTTCACGGTTTCATGTGTGATGACACTACACTGTCAGTATTCGATTGAAGTTGACGGTTTCCCATCTGTGATGTTACCGAAGTGGCTAAATGGTATTGTACAACTTCATTATCCTTCCTTATCATAACTAAATCGTTCCACCCCTAGAAACTCTTATAAGAGGGTATAAAGAGTTTACAAGTGTCTATCTAATAAGAAGCTTAGTAGTTGGGCAAATTGAATGATATACTTATTTGGAAGGTCAGTGATGCACAAACTCTCTGCACAGATTCAATAGCTTCTGTAAAGTGATTACATCTATCTCTCCGAAAAGATGTACCTACTACATCAGAGGGATTTCTCTACCTTCTGGATTGACCTACAGAGAGTTAGGAGTCACATTAAGTCATGATTTAAAGACCGCAGCGTTCTGTCATTTGGTCAGAGCTCGGTGCTTTAGGATACTTTGTGCACTACAGCAGAACCCTCACTTATTACCGTTCGCACATTTTTAGGAAACTGGGCACATTCGACAAGTCCTTGTCTGAAAGGTAACTGAGACTTTCTGACAAGAGGGTAGCCACCTGTATCATGCCTCCTGATAATTTTGAAATGTGATGAGAAATTATCGGACGAATACTCCTCGTCAGATTGTTGCTTTTGATTAATTTTGTTTCAACCTTCGAATAATTTTGAATTCCTACAATCGTTTCGTGTGAAACATGACCTTCGTACTTGCCGGTTACAAAAACACTTTATCATGATCTAACTTTTCTGTCTCTGAACTTGGATCATCACCATAAAGCTATCTAATAGTCATCAATTAAATTAGAGGTTAATTTGGGGGGGAGGCGATGTTGGACACTGAATGGATTGATCCCAAAGTAGGTTTCAACAGAAACCGACTGACGTCAGTTAGGTAAGACATTGAAAACAAAGAAGGAGGATATATTTCACCTAATTAATGAATGAACATCATTTGATTGACACTGCAAACACACATACACGTACACACGTAGACGATTACGTAACCTTAGTCAGTTGTTACCGTTGTAATTAAGCATTGTATTGAAAAAATTAAAGCTTGAATGCTGATTAATATTTCGTATGATATATTTCCAAGGTAGGTTGTTCAATCAATGTTTAGTTAGTTAGTGAAACTGGTAATTATTTCGATAACCACTGGTTGGTTTCATGAACCATCTCAACACGAGGAAACTGGTAATTTAATCCCATATAGAAACAATTTCTCAGGTTATTACGCGAGTATATACTCATATATATTTGTGTATGTGTGTGTGGATGCATATGCGTAAATGTTATGATGTCAATGTGAGGTGTCTCTGAAGTTCACCCTAACAACTACTGAAGTCACAAACCAAAACTTGTGTATCATACCAGTTAAAATAGAGAAATTTGATTGGTTATTTCATTTGTAGCTAGAGTGATCTTTAATGTCATTCTTAACACATGATTTAAACAACCAGTTTGAAAACCTCGTTTTCATTCACAATATAAAAGTATACTACATTGATGACTATTCTATAAAATTGCATCTAAGATATTGATTAATTTTGGTAAAGTTTTCCAATCAATTCTTATTTCCTCTTCAATGAAGTGTGTGTGATAAACACTGAAGAGAATCTGTTACATTGTGGAATTCATAACTTAACGATATTGGAATGGAGAATCAAAACATTGTTTCAAGTCTTTCTTCATACAATCTATATAGCAAGGAGAAGGTTAAATATCAATCCCTATCGTCAACTGATGATTATGAGGCTATAAGTTTCGTAAATTATATGATTCCTTTATATCTAATAGGTTGTTCATCTTTTTTCATCAAAGTTTTGCTAACTTTCTCTCTGGTCAGGGTAGAAAATGAGCTGAACTTCTCTAGCATGGTTACATTGAGTAGCTATCAACCGTCCATTCCAGTCTTAGTGAAAGCAATATGACTACCTGAGAGCTAGTATAAGACGAAACGTGTTTCCTAGATCTCACTGATAGCCAAGTTTCATCATTAACATATAATTGATACGCAGGTAATTTCAAACCAATAGGAACTGATGAATTTAGTCCAATCAATGACGAGTAAATTACAAACAATGACATAAGACAAGATGTTGACACATACAATGGAATTTTTAGGGAGTTATGGAGATTTGGAAATATTTCAAGTTGTTATTCATCGTAGATTGACATAGTTGGAGGAGCAAAACAAACCTGGGGCACTCCACAACTGTTTCGTCTTAGTATTGGACTCCTCCTCAGTGCCCACCCACGAGCCAGCCAGGGATAGAACCCGCGACCTTCATGTTCCCCAGCTGATGTCAGTCTACGATGAATAAAAACTTAAAATATTTCCAAATCCCAACAACTTCCTCATAATTCAATTGAACTGGTGCCCATTGATGACTGGCTTCGAGAGGTATTCCCGAAGTTCCAGTGAGAAGTCGTGACCGGTGGAGTCAAAGCCTGATGGTCGTGAGGACAGTTACTCAACGATGACATTGGGTGGTAGTTGCGCTATATCGTGAGCTAACAGAAGTTTGAAATATGGACGATTGGGTTCTGACCCAGTGACTAGCTCAATGGTAACATGCTGGCCACGGAACGTGAAGGTCGCGGGTTCGACCCCGGGGAGGGCAGGGTCGTGGGTGCGCACTGTTGAGGAGTTTCATACTAGGACGAAACAGCTGTCCAGTGCTCCCAGGTTTCCTTTCCTCATTCAGTTGATGTCAGTCTACGATGAATGACAACTTGACATTCAATGAACTCATTTGTACACTCACTTATATAATGATATTAATAATAATAGCTTTATCCCAAACAATATTTATTACAGTATAGAATTCTTAGCAAGTAATTTTTAATAAACTCACTCCTAGAACAATAAACTCAGACGAAATGGTTATTGTATCAGAGTGATGTTAATAATAACAGTACTGAAGGTAATAATATGAAATAGCCAGCTGATTTTGGATGTACATCCGGTCCATTATGAAGAATCAACAGAAATGAATGCGTTATTTTGGTGTTGGTGGTTCATTCAGACGGTACAACTCAAGCTCCTTATGTGATGGATAGAGATATAATGTACTTTTTCGCATCGAAAAGTTTATTTCTATATAACGTAACTTCTTTTTCTCTACTTTATTATTTACTCAAGAAACGGAGAGTTGAAAACATTTTAAAAATGTGCCAGAGTACATGATACATTCAAACAATATATTTAAGTGATTAAAACAAATTGGAAGGAAAGAGTTTGATGAAAAATGTTCGATGGATAAATATGGGTAGCTCAAGGTTCAAACAGGCCACTGAAACATTAGATTATTAGTGATAAATTCATTGAAAATGTATACGATTGTTAGATTGACTGAGACTAAAGGTTATCATAATGATTTATGAAATAACCAATTATTATTTCTTATTTTATGAAATATTATTTTCCCAGTCGAAATTTCGCAATCTCATTGGTTATTTCAGCTACTGCTAAAGTGATCCTTACTGTCACTTGTATGCAAATCAAAGTAGGTTGAGCTGATTCTCTTGATTGTATCTTTTATCCCGCCTGACTTAGAATTATCAGCTGTTTTACTTATTCATTGTAAAAAAAATATTTGTGAAGTTGAATAAAAGAGGCTATTTCTAGTGGGATATCAATTTTCACTGATTTTTCATATCGAAATGTTTCTTCTGTCTATGTAAATTACAGAAATCAGTGTATCAATGGAACTGCATTATCCATCAGCATATTCAACGCCCACTACACTGAACAATTCCCAGGAGAATAACAATAGTGCTATTACTACAACCACAATTACTAACAGTAGTACTACTATTACTTTAGATAATAGTAGTATTGAGAAAACTAATCAAGATCCAAATCTCTTCGACTATAAATTGAAAATAACCCATCCAGTAGGATATTCAAAACTTCCATCTAGTCAGAATATTCATTTAAAATATGAAAATGGTATCAATTCACTTGAAAAAGGTTTAAATTTTCTATATGCTCATGAAACTGAAGACTTGAAACCAGTTGATATCTTGGAAATTAGTCCACAATTTTGTTTCAGTGAATCATCATCAAGTATTGAACCAAATAGCAATACAACAGGTTGTAATATATCTAATGAATCCACTTCATCTTATCTTGAACAAAACACAAACACAGATTGGTTTTCACAACTTTTTTATACACCATCAGAGACAACAAGTTATGAGACCACTTTATCAAAGACATGTATTAGTCCATCATGGAAGAGTCATGAATACATCCATTATTCATACATGAATTGTTCACCTGATGTTGATATTCAACCTGAAAAACAATCACAACAGCAACAACACCATCAACAAACAAATAAACAATCAACGATTGAGTTGCTTCAAGGTGTTCAATTCGGCGGTGATTATGAAGCACCAGATAAACCATCTATCAATCTGTTTGAAAATGTTACTCAAAATTCTCAGTACTATAATACAATTAAAACAATAGAAAACATTGATCCTATGTCAGTGATGAATTCAGATATTGATAGTAATCAATCAGCATTGAATCTTGAACATTATAAAGAGTCAACCCATAATTCTACTTTACCTGGGTGTAATATTACTGATGGAATTGAACTAAGTAATCATTTTCAAAGTAAACTGGAGCACAATACTGATTTCATAAAGTTACATCAATATTATCCTGTAAATTACAATGAACAAATATTTCCCTTTACACCAAAAACTAACAGTCAATCGAATATCATTCAAACAAATGTGTATCCAAATTTAAATTCATGTCATACAACAACAGGAGAACATTTTCAATGTCAATTATGCTCCCTACAGAACAACTCTCCAAGTGTTATCTCGAATTCAGTATTTGATCCGGTCGGTATGAAGTCATATTGGGCTAATTATTGTCAAACAGTACATGATAATGCAGACTTTATGCGGGGAAATCATCGTCATAACAATAATTTTCAACAAAATTCATCTCCACAACTGAGTTTATCGTTTTCTCAAGTTCATCATCAAGGTATCAATGATAAAGGAGATATTTAATATCTCAGAGGCGGAAACAGAATAAGAAACGCCTAGATATAGGGAATTTAGAAAATGATAAATCTATGACAAATGTGAATACACCATCAATGACGCCAGTATCATCAAGAACTTCAATAAATATATCAAAGCTGGCAACATTATTTCACATTAGTCCTTCCCAGTTGAATATGCTTCTTCCACGTGTATCATGTAATGAAATATCTGGAATACTTCATCGACTCGGTTCAGCCAATACTGATGCTTTATTTCAAACAGTACGTATTGATAATTTACTGGAATCTTCATTCTCGAAAACAGATGCCACCACAACCACTACTATAATAAAAACAACACCACAGGCAAATCAAATTTATTTTCGACTCAAAGAACAGACAATATGGTCTGATATTTATGTGCATAATACTGAGATGATTGCCACAAACACAGGAAGGTAAACAGATTTAGTTGAGATTTCTGGAGTTTATAAGCTTGAGACATTTTATTGACGAAACGTAGGGATACTACTAGAATAATTTATAAGTAGCTAAAACGCATAAAAGAAAAAGTTGGTTGATCAGTATGTAATGAGCCACACATGTATGAGATTGATTACCCTGCCGATTGGCCACCTAACACTTTGGTAGGAGGAGTAGGGTTGAAAGCCATGACTCATAGGTTAAATATCAACTGCCTAAACAAAGCCATAGTTCCACTTGTATCGACACAGTAATTTAGCTTCAGGTATGGTTATTTCGATCATGTGCGGACCAAATTGCAACGCTTCGAATCATCATAAAGCAGAGTATAGATTGGTAGTCAACCATGTACCTCAAATTCATCGACTTTGAAAAGGCCTTCGACAGCGTTGATCAATAAGCAATTTGGAAGTTGCTTCAACACTACGGAATATCAATCTCATTCAACAACTACATGAAGACGCCACATGCCAAGTAATTCACAATGGGAAGCTCAATGATGCCTTCGAAGTGAAGATAAGAAGGAGTAAGACAAGTCTGTCTACTATCACCCATGATATTCCTGACTGTGGTCGACTGGACTGGATCTTGCAAAAAACAGTGAGGAGCTTCCAGAAGATAGGGGTACGCTGGACCGCGCATAAGAACCTAGAAGACTTGGATTTCGCCAACGATGACTTGTGTCTAATGTTTTATCGCACAAACTTGAAGATCTACAGGCAAAAACTACCAAGTTGACAGAAGTGGCAGCGAAGACTGGACTTTATTTGAACGTAGAGAAGACAGCGATGATGAATGTACCCAGCCGACGCCACCACTACCAACAACAACAACAAGCTCCAATCACCACCAACTGGAGAAACTTGAAGGAAATATCCCGTTTCACCTATCTAGGCAGCATCGTTTCAACTACAAGTGGCACAGACGAGGACGTCAAAGCCAGCCAGGATCGGAAAGACAGCAGGAAAGGCATTCATTAGCCTGAAACCAGTGTGGAGATATTCTGCACTGCATTCTGCATATACAACAAGATTTGCGTACTCAACTTTGTGAGAGGTTGAGTACAGGTTCAACAAGTCCAGCGGTTGACATGTTCTAAAGTGCGTGAGGAAGATCATCAGTGAGTATCTACCCTTGCAACTGATTTGAATGACACCACAACTTCCGGGCTTTTCATTAAAATCTTGGAAAATGCCACTCAAACATGAGATTTTTATTCATTTGTGAAGTTTGTCGACTTTGTGTTGAAAACCATCCTAACGCCTATGAAATCTGAAAAAAACAACCACTAGAGTCGATAATCTAGGAAACATTGAAGTAATAGAAAGACGGAGTATAGTCTGTCGGCTTCATACATTCAACTAACAGAAAGTGGTAAAAAATGATATCTAAGAAGCTACGGAAATGTGTGAGATACTCTTGCACCTACTGACAGCCTGTGAACGTTTTTTCTGAGAGTTCCTGGAAACCCTCCTGAGAAAGGTGGTACAGAAGTCATAAATATCTTCATTCCCCTTTTAATTGCCCTACCTAATTCCAGTTTACCGTTGATTATGTACAGAAATAACCCCTAATTTGTACCGGCTATCTCATCTGTGAGTTATAAAAGAGTAACTACCTCATTGAGCAAAATTTCTCTTGACAATAACATCGTCTAAAGCTGTAAAGTCAGATTCATATATGGTGAATGTACGTTAAAGTGTTAGTATTTGGTAATTAAGTCGTTATAAAGTGAGTAGACAGGACGTTAAAGCCAACCAGGATCGGAAAGACAGCAACAAAGGCATTCATTAGCCTGAAACCAGTGTGGAGATATTCTGCACTACACTCAGCATAAACAACAAGATCCACATTTTCAACACCAACGTCAAGTCAGTGCTTCTGTATGCTCCAGAAACTTGGAGCATTACGGAAAGCCTTTTGCAACAAACTACAGACATTCGTCAACAAATGCTGCCTATGCTGGCTCGTTACTGGAGCTCAGATGGCCAGGTTAATAAGAATAAGTAACAAGGAACTGTGACTAGCTGGCTGGCTGGCAACGAACCAACCAAGAATCTATGCCCAAACAAATATGCAGAGAAGTGTGGAAGTGGAGATGGATTAAGTATACACTGAGAAGGCCTACTGGGGACATCACGCATCAGGTCAGACTATAGAATAGAACCCAGATGGAAAACGACGAGTTGGCATGCGAGGCGAGGGTGACATGGAGGAGATGGTGTGATGAAGAAATGAGAGGTTGTGGGCTGTTGTGGAGCCATGTTGAAAAGATTGCAGAGAATAGAGTGAAATATTGACGTGCTAGTGAAGCCGTATGTTCAACTAGGAACCCAAGAGGCAAACAATAATAATAATGGTTATTTCGATAATACTATTGACATCAAAGTACGTATCCTGACAGGCGACAATTTGAGCGTAAATCGACTTACATTGTTCACCATCGTTTCGCGAAAATCGATCGATAGTCCTTAGGTGTAACTAATCTTATTTCGGTTAACAAGGGGAATCCGAAAAACTACACATACACATGTCCAGTACTCCAAGGTTGTTTTTAAGTGTTTCTCAAGTTGATGTCGGCCCGTGATGAATGCCTATTTGAAATTAGTTGATTCCCAAAAATCTCTAAAGTGAATGATTAGTAAAGTGTAGATACGAATGTTACAGACTGATTACACAACGTAGGAATAAAAAATCTAATCTAATGTTATCCAAATCACTGAGTTATACTTCAGTTCTTAGACTTTTAAACAGACAAAAAATGGTCTGCATATATCATCTATTCATTATCATAAAGAATGTTTAGTACATTCACTACAATTCCTTATGACAATTCTACTGAACTGAGGTTTACAATGAATCATGAAAATTATTTGTAGAAAATCTATCGGTTGATATGTGTAGTTGCATAATGTACTCAATAGTCAGTAGATTTATTCATTCAGCTGATTATAATTGATGCATATTTTACGCCAAGATGATTATTGATTTATCTATGGCTTTATATGACTAGCCTAGACACTCTACAATCACTCCACTTATCAAGATTAAGACGGTTAGATACTTTCAGAAGGTTTTCCACAGAGATGTAGCTTATCACTTGATATATCAGCTTGTATTGATGACAAAATCACCAGTCAGCATAGTAATACAAACTTTTAAGCATATTTTTTATGCAAAGATAATTTTGGGTTTTTTTTCTACGTAGCTTATAATCTAACTACTTACAACAATACATCACTTTTCTCTGTTCAGAGTATTCATCAGTCAGTTGTCTGCTGTGTTGACTTTCTTTGAAGACACTACGCCACATACTACTGAAATACATTCTTATCAGTAAAATATACACTAAAGCATATCGGTTTCGAATTAAAAGTTAGTCAAACTCACCTTCAACTAGTTTGATTCAACTTAGTTAAAGTTGTTTTGTTAAAGTCAATTAGCATATTTACTAGTTTGTAAAAAAGAAACGTATTATGACAATGAATAATTTCTATACACTATTTTGTATTTCTTTTCTATAAACTAGACGAATATTTCCATCATTATCCATTGATGTATTTGGATTGTATCCATTGGATGAATATATTTTCCTGTTGGATATGCTGTTGATTCAACCGCATATATTCAAGCATCAAGGTGATAGATGGGTTGTTAATAGTCAATCCGAAGAAATGATCGATTCTCAGTCATTAGGTAAGTGGTTCCACTGTTGTTTTGTCTATGCCTGCATTCTTCATCGACAAGATATTTAATATCGTCTTGAATAAATAGAGTTCTCACATCAGATCAGTGCATTTACTTGTGAATTACATTCAAGGTTTGGATTTGTGCCAATCGACAACAGATCATCAGTCTTGCCAGTTTTCTAGATGACCTGCATGGATGATAACGTCTACATTTTCGGTTCTAAATGCAGTCACCAGATGTACCAAAACTATTCACGTAGTAAGATAGTAGTTACCTATTGCAATTCCTGGCGGGTTCATAAGTACACACTTGTCAGGAGTCCCATACTAGTGGGACGAAACTGCTGCCCGAAACACCTACATTTCCAATACTTCTCCAACTGATCTCAGTCCATGATGAATATCAATCTGAAATCAATAAATGAATCCTCACAAAGTTATATTGATTTTCGTGACTAGCAGAGGAACCTAAGACACGCCTTTCTTCCTATTCGGGACTCGTCAGCCGAGTGTACCTACACCCCAGTGAGTGCTGTTGTTCCTACTGAAACTCAAACCCCGTACATATCACTTTAAGCGCCAAAGCGTTATCCAATAAGCTACTGGGCACGATAGCCTATCTGCAAATGGAGGTCGAGCAATTCGGCCCTTTATAGCAACGGGAAATTACAAGTATCATAACAACAAAGTCCTCCAGATGTTCAAATTGTGAATTACTCCAGTGCCCATCTGTGACTTGCATCGGGAGGTGACTCCAGAAGTTTTAATGAGAATTCGTGACCAGTGAAGCCAACCAGTTGTTACGTGAGTACAGATACTCAGCGAAGGCATTCCATGGAGACCAATAGATGTCGACACGGAGACTCAGTGTCAACGTTTTGGTCACAAAACCTGAAAATCCTGGATTCCATATATAACAGGGTTATTCGAGTACACTCATGAAGAGTCCCATGATAGATGGAAACAACTGTCCAGTGCTCCCAGATTTCCAACTAATCTCTAACTGGTGTCATTCCATGATGAGTATCAACCAGGAATCAATAAAATGAAAGTATTGAGGTCAATTATTGTAGGGAAATGTGAAAGTAGATAGACCAGCAAAATATTAATGACTTTGGTGATTAACATGCTATAGTTATTATGAATAACATTACTTTTACGTTGAACTACTTTATATGTTCAATACAAAGTACTAGTCTTGTTCAGCGACCACGTAGAGAAATCAGTCGCCTTGTACAGATGGACCTTACGATAAGATAAACCTCCATACTGACTTATAATTTCACTGTTCTGATAAATATTAGCCAAATGACAAGAAATCAAACACACGCTTCAAGCATTCACTGTAAATAAAGAACATTCGACAAAACAGTTATACTTTCAGCAGAAACTAGATGACAGCAAGAATAGACGGTGAAAATTCACAAGAATGATGACTTACAAGGTGATATGACAGTTTGTTTCTCCGATTAGTTTCTATTATGAGATTAATGACATAGTGAGAAGAAAATAGTGGTTATTGACTTGATGGGAATGTTTCCTCACACAAAATTCATTTTATAAATTTACACTACTAATGAGTAGCTTATCACAAAAACGAGCAAAAGTATCGAATAAGATGACAAAACTTGGGTTCACAAAATATTTGGGTTCACTGGAGTTCTGTTAAAATATAAACTGTTACATTAAGACTACCACGAAGTACACACTGATACTGATTTCACGTAAATGATTATTACGTGATTGCCTTCAAGACAAGAAATGTTTTCTTTTCATTTCTTTCATTGCAAACTTATCAGTTTGAACAACTTAAATATACTGTCGTCGTTTTCTACCAATCATATAATATTTCTTGTTATCATTTCCTTCCTCAGAAGGCAAGTATTACATTCAAGAAGAATCACCTAAAACTGGGGCATACTGGATGGAATCTGGTGTGAACTTCACTCGAGTCAAGATAACAAATAGTAAGGAAGTAAAACCACACAAAAATTTGGTAAGTCTCTAAAAAACTAACGTTAAATATATTGTAATCAAATAGATAATAAGCTTATAATTGTCAGTATTCAAAGAACTCACTTCAAAAGCCAAGACTATCATGGGCTAGTAGCTAAGAAACCTGTTGGTACGTTTGAATCCGTTCTACTGAGTTCAGTTTTGTTTAACCATCCAGAACTGTTAGCTTAGCAGAAAACATGTTCTTCATTGTCTGCTTCATCAATATCTACATTGTGTTTACGTTCGCTGTGGAAGTTAACTTTCTTTCTCTTTATATTTTTGTGATATTTCTGTTGATTCAGATTCATGTCAGCAGTATGCATTACTACATCCCACGGATTTCAGTTGCTCGTATCAATCGCCCGAATGATAACCCGTCAAACTTTTATCATACTTCAGTTAGTGCATCACCATTATATATGCCTCAATCATACCAGTTGGAGCTGATCGGTGCTTATATAATACCCGGCACACAATTCTACACAGTTACAGCCTATCAAAATCCAGATGTTATACGCATCAAGATTAACAATAATCCATTTGCTAAAGGATTTAGAAATCGACAAGATACTGATGAGTTAAACGAAATGGCAGTCCTGTCCATGATGAATATAAAGAATAAATATATCAGGTCATCCTCATCTTCATCATCACCAATTCTACTACCGTCTTCATCATCTTCACTGACTTTTTCTAGGAAAACACCACAGTTATATGAGTCTGGATTTTAAAAATAATTTCAACCTACTTTCTGACTTTCTTATATCTCCTGTTTTCCTTCCTTGTCTTTTCATTCATTCAGTCGTTCACTGATTTGTATTGTCCTTTAATCTTGTAAATATTCTGAAGATAATACGTTCAATTCTATACTTTTTTTAAATGAGTTTTACTTTTTATGTGATTCAGTGTGTTATGAAAGTTTTGACTTAAAACTTTTACTACTTTTAGTAGTATAATGTTATTTACAAAATTAATTGGCATAGGTTAGTGTCATATTACACTTAATAATGACAGTAAAATTGAACAAATTAGACAAACAAGCAGGTTTTATTAGAAATCGAAAAACCATAGAGGAAAACTAAGGAAAGATTTTTAATTAATAGTAAGTTAGTCAGGACTAAAATCTTGTAAGTTGTACTTGTAAGTCAATGTTTTTCAATGGTTAGTCAGTTAAAAAGTTAGGGGATTTTATTCAATCAATCGTATGGAATTCAGAATGAACTATTATAGATCTAGTTATTCGAAAATTCGATGAATCCACACCGCTTTTGCGGCAAACACGTAGAATAAGTTGACTCACACATAGGTCTGTCTCATCTACCTTTGAATTTCTTACTGTTCCATTTAAGCAACCTTAGGAAACAGTGGAATGCCAACTAATTCATGAAGAAAAGATTGGTTTGCTGACATAACTCCCCACCGCTGACCACTGAAATGTGTTGAACAATCACTTCACTCTACTTTGTGACAACTCAGTCTGGACGAAGGTAATGATTAGTAAAGCAGCTGCCATTAAACTTGAATGTTCCATCCTCCACCTTGGAAGTAAACTTGTACCCGGGTCATCTCACGATGAAAATTAACTTGTAATGAACCAATCTCTACAAATCCTTGAGATGACCAAGATGAAATTGATTCTATATTCCAAGGTCCTCCAAACTCGTTTATTTTAGTGTACGAGTCAGCTGAACTCTATTTTTATGTGTGAATTCCATGAAAGGCTAGAGTAAGTTACTTATAGTTTATTTATCAATCCATCCATCGACAGGCTTACGTGTATATAAATGATTATCCATTATGAAACGATCTCTCAAGAATTAGGTGAATGTACCAATCAAACCAAGGATATGAAATTACCTACAGGAGGTTGGATACTGACACCAACTGGAATACAATGTTAAAACAGATCTATGAAAGGAGTATGTAACACTTGATCAACTGTATTGTAATCAGGGACAATTTACTCACAAACTATTCTCCTATATTAGTCTGTAATCATTTTGACCAACTTTGTTTGGTATTTCATGCCACAATATTCTCAATTAACTGTTACCTTCATGTGTCATTTTATAACCGAAGTGGCTTTGTTGCTGATTTACTACCTGCTATACTTTGTCGACATGATACCCACATTTAGCAGCTCTACATCCTTATGAATAAATAGGAAATGAGTTGTAAATTTCGCATCTTGTGTTCATTTCATTCACTTCCTCAAGTGTACAAAAGTATAGTAAGTGTGGCTATGCACCAGACATCACATAATGGTATTGCAATTATCTACTTACAATAATCAGATTAACCATATGATATGAACCGAAAGAGTTTATCTCGCGTTGAACAATGACAAAAGATGGTGGTCTCCGTAACCTGCTGTTCCAGATAAACAAGAAGGGAAGGAAGTACAGTAGTCCTAATTCTGTGTCCATATATAAAACTAGATCTCTGAAATGTTTGACAAAACCTTCTACTAATCCTGAAAGTTCTAGAAGCCTGTGCAGTTTCCCGAAAAATATCAAGTGTCTGAAAATACTTTGACAATTTCTGATAACGGGGTATTCATCACTTGGAGAGTCGTTGAAAACCTATAGGTACTGGACAACTGTTTTGCCCTGGCACTTAACTCTTCATCAGTGCTCATTCATAACTTAAGGTTTAGTAGCGAAAACTTTACAGCTGAAAAACTGGGTTGAAATGAAGTGGTTCGTATATTCCTATTTCTACCAACTTGAAATATATTCTGAGCTTCGTCCAACGCCATCGATGACTATTTATCCTCATATTGGACGTGCTTTAAGATGTAATTTCCCTAAGTTGTAATGAGAACTACCGATAGGATAGTTATTCAACGATGGCATTGGATGGAGGTTCTTGTATATCACAAATCGATAGAAACAAAGAAATATGGACTATTGGAATTCGATGTAGTGGCCCTTTGGTGATATGCTCGTCTCGAGGTCATAGTTGAGCACTGCTAAGGAGTCCCGTGCCATAAGGAAACAGCTCATCAGTGCTCCCGGTTTCTATTGGTTTTCCAATTGATTTCTGTTAGTCCGTGATGAGAATACTACTTTGAAATCAATCGATCCCCATAAACCTCTAAACTGAAATACGATTTTTCATGAAAAATAAAAACTTCCCTTTAACATTATTAGCGGAATGTGTTTATTTGGTTGTCATTGAAGCCTATTAAAACTTATTAACAAATGAGTACTATAAAAACACGTTCTGCATGATGGAAAAAGCTTCTCAGCTAAGTCTGGAAATGTCCAATTTAGGGTTTTATGAAAACCTGATTGTTTTCACCCAGAAAGTCGTTGAAAATCTGAAAGCATCGGACAACTGTTTTGGTCTATTTTCAGACTACTTAGCACACTGCGTACTCAACTTTGTGAGAGGTTGAGTACAGATTCAACAAGTCCAGCGGTTGACATGTTCTAAAGTGCGTGAGGAAGATCATCAGTGAGTATCTACCCTTGCAACTGATTTGATTGATACCACGACTTCCGGGCTTTTCATTAAAATCTTGGAAAATGCCACTCAAACATGAGATTTTTATTCATTTGTGAAGTTTGTCGACTTTGTGTTGAAAACCATCTTAACGCCTATGAAATCTGAAAAAACAACCACTGGAGTCGATAATCTAGGAAACATTGAAGTAATAGAAAGACGGAGTATAGTCTGTCGGCTTCATACATTCAACTAACAGAAAGTGGTAAAAAAATGATATCTAAGAAGCTACGGAAATGTGTGAGATACTCTTGCACCTACTGACAGCCTGTGAACGTTTTTCCTGAGAGTTCCTGAGAAACCCTCCTAAGAAAGGTGGTACAGAAGTCATAAATATCTTCATTCCCCTTTTAATTGCCCTACCTAATTCCAGTTTACCGTTGATTATGTACAGAAATAACCCCTAATTTGTACCGGCTATCTCATCTGTGAGTTATAAAAGAGTAACTACCTCATTGAGCAAAATTTCTCTTGACAATAACATCGTCTAAAGCTGTAAAGTCAGATTCATATATGGTGAATGTACGTTAAAGTGTTAGTATTTGGTAATTAAGTCGTTATAAAGTGAGTAGACAGGACGTTAAAGCCAACCAGGATCGGAAAGACAGCAACAAAGGCATTCATTAGCCTGAAACCAGTGTGGAGATATTCTGCACTGCACTCAGCACAAACAACAAGATCCACATTTTCAACACCAACGTCAAGTCAGTGCTTCTGTATGCTCCAGAAACTTGGAGCATTACGGAAAGCCTTTTGCAACAAACTACAGACATTCGTCAACAAATGCTGCCTATGCTGGCTCGTTACTGAAGCTCAGATGGCCAGGTTAATAAGAATAAGTAACAAGGAACTCTGACTAGCTAGCTGGCTGGCAACGAACCAACCAAGAATCTATGCCCAAACAAATATGCAGAGAAGTGTGGAAGTGGAGATGGATTGGGTATACACTGAGAAGGCCGACTGGGGACATCACGCATCAGGTCAGACACTCAAGTAGAACCCAGATAGGAAGCGACGAGTTGGGCATGCGAGGCGAGGGTGATATGAAGGAGATGGTGTGATGAAGAAATGAGAGGTTGTGGGCTGTCGTGTAGCCATGTTGAAAAGATTGCAGAGAATAGAGTGAAATATTGACGTGCTAGTGAAGCGTATGTTCAACTAGGAACCCAAGGGACAAGTAAAAATGATGATAAAGTGAGTAGGCAATTGTCAGTGAGTCAGGGGATTGAAAAATTTGTAACTAAGCTCAATAAAAATTGATCATGAGGTGACAATAGTCAGGTCCCATGACTGGAAAGTTATTAGGAATTAAGACATGAATAGGAACAGGGAATAGGAAACTTAGCTCTGGCAACACAGTTCCGATTTCAGTTGTTAAATTGTCAGAGTTTCAGTAAAATAGAAAGTGAACGTTTTCTGATACCCTTTATAAGATTAAGTTATACTTTTTAGACTAGCATAAACGTATCTTCTGAATCTGTGTATCCACTGCCAATTAAATGTTGTAGTATGGAGCTGTTGACTGATCTATGTTGACGCTTACTGAGCTATCATGGAAGGGGTTGACAACTGCAACTGTTTAGCTATAGGGGATGATATCATGGAAAAAAAAATTTGTTCACTGAAGCCTTTATTCATTTCTATCGATGAATTGGCATTTTCATACAGTTAACCAGCACTGCAGACCTTCTCTTCTGCCTTTGTGAACCCATTCACTGAGAAGTCATACCATAACATTATTCAGTTATGCTATTTATACTCAGTAAAATTGTATCACTAACAGGTTTATGATGAACAACAAGTTGAGAAGTTTTCTGTTGTGCATCTTACCTGTTTCATCCTCGGCCAATTTACATCGTCGGTGGCCTGTCTACACCTCTAAGCTACTCATTTATTCCATTCTATACAGATGCATCCAATTTACTCTGTTTAAATATGAGTTTAAATCGTATCAGATATTCACGCAAACTTTTAAAGCGTTACCAACCTACTACTGTGAATATGACAAATGTAATTGAGAAAAGACATCATAGTGTATGGTAAGGCGTTTTGAAGCGAACCAAACTACATCAAATCACGCTACCCGAAATACTCAGCTCAAACTGAAGATTCTTACTGAGTAAGGTAGACTATTTACAATGTCTCCTATCTTCTAACGTCTATCGTAATATTTGATTGTACGACCTATGTTATGACAGTTCAGTTCTTTTAAATTGCTTCAAAT